ACAATAAAATTTCTTAGTTTTAACATTTGATATGTTGTCTTTGTACTATTTTCAATGAAATACATTATTTAAATGATTTGCACATCATTGCGTTTTGTTTTTATTTACATTTTGCACAGGGTCCTAACTTTTTTCGGAAATGGGGTTGTATTTCCATCAGGAAAAATGGAAGCTAAAGAGTAAGACTCTGTAACATCCATATGTGGTACTTCGTAGGGGTGGGTAATATACAAAAGAGTACTATATACAATCATATTTGTGTCAACTGTTTCATTATCTTTTGTATAAGTTGACATATATATTATCATAAATCAGAGAACAGCTCATAAAGGCTTAGCTGAAGCCCTGGCAGCAGTGGCCAGCTTTGTTACAAAATCACCAGAAAGGACAACAGAGACAGACACAGCTTCCTAAAATACCTGAGCTGTTTTGTTCCGTGTCACTGCCCAGAGCAAATGTCTTCTACAAATGTCTCACCAGTGCCAAAGAGGCCACATTTTAGGATGACAGCAGTTGTTCTTCTTGGTCTTTGACTCTTACATGCATATTACAGCAGATTCTGGGATTCTCCTAAGCCTCCCAAGACATCCCCAAAGGCTGCTGGAACAATGCATAAGAAAGGGAGGTGAGCGAGGATATTTAAATAAAACATGAAATGAAACGATGGCACAAAGACCCAAATGTCTCCTGAGGTACGTACAGAGAACCCTCCTTGCCTGAAGGAACTACAGCAAACTACACACTTCCTAATTAAAGATAACACAAGGTGAAATAAAGGACAGATTAAAGAAAACCATGAGTGCTATAAGAATGGTCCTACTGGGGGATGGGGGGGGGCGATGGAAGAAAACAGATTATCTAGGAAGGGGTTCATCACTTTAGGGTCAATGGACACATCTGGGGAACTAAATTAGCACTGTAACTATCCTTGTTTCACATGATCTATGTCAACATATTGTTTGTGCTTCAGGAAAAGTGGGTCAGAGCACCAGCAAAACATCAAAGTTTGGGGTTATTTTCAGGTGAATCATTAGACGTGTTACTATGCACACACAGTTGCATGCGGCAGTTTAGGCAAACTTGGTGAAATTACGTTTTGTGAAAAAAACTTGATACATATGACACATTTCAACTAATTTTAATGTTCAATTACCATTTATTTACACTGAATTCAACATATTGCAAAATAACTAAAATAAAATGTGGCATGTGCAAACGTTTGGGCTTAGAGCAAATTTGACTCATTAGGCCTTAATCCAAGTCAGACTTAGACAACTGCAGAGCATAATAAATTCTGTCACCCTGCAAACCTCTCAGGGTGTTGTGCTGACACTCAACAGCCATGGGCTCATCTAAGCGGCAGATGGAGGATCTGAAACTGAAGATAATTTACTCCAACAAAGTGAGAGAACACAATAAAAGATATCTAAACATGTTCTGCTATCTGAAATGTCATTAAGAACTGGAAGTAAAGGAGAACTTTTAAAATAAAAACCTGCTCATAGACTGGTCAGCCATGCAAAGCAAAGCCCCCACATCACTGCCAACGGTCTTGAGGAAGATTTGTGCAGTACTGCTGCACAAACATCATCTACATGAAAGAATCATCAGAAGGAAACCTTACTTGCGACTTCATCACAAAAGTAGACATCATAAATAAGCAATATTTAGACAAACACAGCAATTTGTAATAAAGTAATGTGATTAAACAAAAAATTGAACTTTTAGAAAAAAAGAGCAGTATTTGATGATAGGAACAGCTTGCTGACTGTTAAGCATGAGGGTGGATCTAGTATGCTTTGTGAGTGGCAGTTAGTGGCACAGGAAATGGGAAAGAGGGTAGAAAGGATTCTTCTGAATATCAACAAATCCTGGAAGCTAATGTCCCACAGTCAGTGAAGAAACAAGACAATGATTCAAAACATACATTGAGATGAAGCTACTTAGATTTGTCCAAATCTATCTCGAATAGTCCGACCAAAATCAGCCTGCATCTCATGTTTCAATTAGGCTAAGCTTAAGTTGATTTAGTCTCGTGGGGTCAGATGCGATCTCCTAACAAGAATACACGTCTGGGGACAAACCTGTTAAAATGTGGTGCTGGATTTAAGCAAACCCATCATAAACAAGGCTCAGATTCCTCTAATCTCTGTTAACATCTGAAGTGAGCAATGAAACAAGCTGGCTTACAAGACACTACCATTAGCTAATGGAACCTCTTTTGAGAGGCAGTTTTCAGCCATAACTTATGTTACATCCATGTGCTGATGACAGGCTTGTTGTCCATCAGAGACTACTGACGTGTACCATTGCCCCCTGCTTTAAGCCCCACTTTAGTTCATAAAAATTGGTTCAGGAATTTGCACTCAACTCCCACCCAAGATAAGGTCAGCAGTTATGCAAATAGTAGCATTGAGAGAGTTGCAAGGTGAAAACCACTGCTTTCCAAAAACAAAAAGGCTCATCTCACATTTGAAACACATTGACAACCCCTAAGATTTTGGAATATGATCTGTGGACTGATGACTCGAAAGATGGGGTAAAGAAGGCATCTTACCAACAACAAAACATGGTGGTGGTAGTGTCAAGGTGTGGGAATGCTTTGCTGCTTCAAGGCCTGGGTGACTTGCCATTAATGACGTAACCAAGAATTCTGTCTACCAAAAATCTGAAGCTCAACTCGGTCTTGCAGCAACAATCAGAAGTACAAGTCCAGCTCTAAATGGCTCAAAAGAAACAAAATTAAGGATCTGGAGCAGCCTAGTCAAAGCCCTGGCCTCCATTTAGATGCTGAGGCAGGACTTCAAACAGGCAGTTCATGCTTGAAAGGCTTCAACTGTGGCTGAAGTAAAGCAATTCTGCCAAGAAGAGTGGGCCAGAATTCATCCACAGTGCTGTGAAAGACTGATCTCCAGTTATAGGAGACACAGTTTGGTCACACTTGTTGCTGTTAAAGGTGCCACAAGCAGTTTTTGAAGTTTAGAGGGGCGATTATGTTTTGACATATAGATGATAACAGGTGTTACAAAAAAATGTAATGACAATTAAAACATTTTCTGTGTTTTCTCATGTTTTCCTTGTTACAATTTGTATGACATCTAGGACAAAGATAGTTTGACAGATATGCAAAAATGGAGGAAATTACGATGGGGGCAAATACTTTTTCATGGATTGCAGTTACTAAATATTTATTTAAATATGAGATAATGAACTGATAACATATCATCTAAAATGAATAGTTGCCATTAGACACAAAGCCCTGGTCAGGAATGACCAAAGCAGCAGCATAGACAAGTTAGCCCATTAGCATTAAACTGCCAGGGACGGTTCAATTAAATAACAATGTCATTCATTCTGGCTACAGTGCAGCTGCCTCATTGGCTCAATGCTGACGACTTCAAAGTAACTGACCGCTCTAGAGGTTTTCTGCTGCGGTCAAACAGGGTGACTTATTTCCCAGCCTAATAAAGGACGAAACATGCTGATTGAATGTACGATCTATAATGGCAGCTGAGGAAGAAAAAGAGCCTGAAGCTCTCCTGCAGCGCATAATTTATTGAAAATGTGGAAAGATGCTGAAATCAGATTCATTAATGAAATTAGCCTCTGAGTGCTGAAGCTGTTCTTATAGGAAAGGAGCATTTCAGCTAATCTCCCTGCTGCATCTGTAACAGCTACAAAACAGTGTTTCCTTGTATTTAGAAAGGAGCAGAAAACGAAAGAACATCTAAGACAGAAGCCAATGGGAAGGTTCTTCAGAAGGTTGTCTGTTGTTTTACTGGGTACAGGGAAACGTGTCACATGCACTGTCTGTTGTAACTGATCATATGCCACAGATGCAGCATATCAAGATCATCTTTCATTTTTCAGATTTTAATTTTTCTACATAATTTCAGTACGGCAGCTGCCACGCACATCGTGTGAAGACTTCATGATGAATGGACCAATAAAAATGCTCCAAAACTGCTTGGAATAAAATCTCTACATTAACTTACATTGAAAGTAAACAATGTTTTTTGTCTTTTCCTGTAAATTTGCATTTTGGAGATGCTTCTTTTTTCTTGGACAGCAACTTTACCACAACTTTAGTGCTCTAACTTTCCTACTGTACTCTAATTCTTTTTTTGGGATTTTCTTAAGATTATCATATTTTCTAAATTTTAATTAGCTGAAAAAAACTAATAATGTAATAATGAATAATGACAATAAGACTGTTTTCCTTTTACATTAGAACCCAAGCGGCAGAATCACTGTAACGACATCAGGGAGCTGAAGGGTTTCCAGGTCTTTGTGACAAAGTTCAATCAAAATGTGACTTAAAGTTGCCTTAATTAACAATGCTATTATGTGAAAATGCTACATTGTGACCGTCTCTTTCTTGTATTATTTACTTGTATAACATCAGGGGTGGGTGATATGGCAAAAATATAACATTACGATACTTACAAGACATTTTCACAATACATGATACACACCATGTCTTTTATGTGTCTTAGGTTTGTAAGCTGGAAAAGAAAAGCCCCACTAATTCTACATCTTAAAAAACTAAGCATTAGTGTTGTAGAGCTGAGCCCGAGTCAAGATCAAAACCTGGACGCGTCGAATCTCAGTCAAGAGCAAGAGTAATAGCAGTTGAGTCCAAGACCAGATTAAGATTTAATCAGAATATAAAATTTAAGAAAATCCATTTGTAGCTCATTGTACATTTATTACCATCAATTAGACATGATGTATATTAATAAATGATGTTATATTTTATTGTGTAAAATATATATGTAACATATAACATTAACTAATATATGATCTAAAAATATTACTTTTGGAAGCAAATGCTGGTGAGGTTCTTCTCGGTTCCTTCTTCTCTAAAACTCAGTCAGAATCAACAACTAAAGTCAACTGAATATAATCCAAGCAACATACATCCAATTTATGATTAAATGAAAACATAGTAATAATAACATTCTGATCTTCTCTCAAGAGATGATTAAATCTTGGAATCAATGAACAATTACACCAAGAATGAAACAAGACCGAGTCCACCTTACACCAAGACTGAGACAAGATCGTGTCCACCTTACACCAAGACCCAGACAAGACCAAGCCAACCTTACAACAAGACTGAGACAAGACCAAGCCAACCTTACACCAAGACTGAGACAAGACCGAGTCCACCTTACACCAAGAATGAAACAAGACCAAGTCCACCTTACACCAAGACTGAGACAATATCAAGTCCACCTTACACCAAGAATGAAACAAGACCGAGTCCACCTTACACCAAGACTGAGACAAGATCGAGTCCACCTTACACCAAGACTGAGACAAGACCAAGTCCACCTTACACCAAGACCGAGACAAGATCGAGTCCACCTTACACCAAGACTGAGACAAGATCAAGTCCATCTTACACCAAGACTGAGACAAGACCAGGTCCACCTTACACCAAGACCCAGACAAGATCAAGTCCACCTTACACCAAGACTGAGACAAGACCGAGTCCACCTTACACCAAGACCGAGACAAAACCGAGTCCACCTTACACCAAGACCCAGAAAAGACTGAGTCCATCTTACACCAAGACTGAGACAAGATCAAGTCCATCTTACACCAAGACCCAGACAAGACCAAGTCCACCTTACATCAAGACCCAGACAAGATCAAGTCCACCTTACACCAAGACCCAGACAAGACCGAGTCCATCTTACACCAAGACCCAGACAAGACCGAGTCCATCTTACACTAAGACCCAGACAAGACCAAGTCCATCTTACACCAAGACTGAGACAAGATCAAGTCCACCTTACACCAAGACTGAGACAAGATCAAGTCCATCTTACACCAAGACTGAGACAAGACCAAGCCAACCTTACACCAAGACTGAGACAAGATCAAGTCCATCTTACACCAAGACCCAAACAAGACCAAGTCCACCATAAACCAAGACAGAGACAAGACCGGGTCCACCTTACACCAAGACCAATACAAGACCAAGTCCACCTTACACCAAGACTGAGACAAGATTGAGTCCACCTTACACCAAGACCCAAACAAGACCAAGTCCACCTTAAACCAAGACCGAGACAAGACCGAGTCCACCTTACACCAAGACCAAGACAAGACCAAGTCCACCTTACACCAAGACTGAGACAAGATCGAGTCTACCTTACACCAAGACCCAGACAAGACCAAGACCGTTCATTTACGGTCTCGAGACCGAACTTGAGTACTACAACACTGCTATGAATATAAGGATTAATGCTCTGTTTGTAATGAAACACACCATCAATCACTGTCTGTGAAGCATTGCTCATATACACAATATGCCCAGAAAACCATACTGTAGCATAATGTATCACAATAATGATAAATATCACCACTGTACCCAATCCTACACAGCAACACTGAAAATGTACTGTCCTGAAGAGCATCTAAAGAGCCTCGCACATCAGTGAATCCCTTTCATGTGGCAGAATAAAGTGACTTGATCATCACGCTGCATGATGCCCTCTTCCATATGATGATGAGTGGCACTCTAATCTGTTCCCACACAGAAAAAATACACTCAAAAGAAAGCTCGTTTGTGGAGGTAATTAGACCCTCCGTGCAGTGCCGTTTGTCTCTTTCGGGTCACAGAAGAATGATTAAACCAGCGCTGGCAACCGGAATGAAGGACAATGAGAAACCGCTGCAAACTCAGTGTGTTCCTCCTCCATCCCAGAGAGCTAATAATGAGCATAACAACCCTGCTGCACCTAGACATGCTGAGAGTAATCAATCCACCAAGCTGTCAATCAACCGGTGACTCACACTAGTAAAAACTGCGAGTTTCTGATGTAATAATAGACTAATAACAACGTCTAACAACAGCTGTCTATGGAGTTGAATTGTCTTATGTCTACTGTTTTCCTGAATATTCTAGAGAGGACTGCATGGACTTTTACATGGACATTTTAGGGTCTGTGATTTAAGCTACTCATGCCTGTAGAAATTGCTTTAATAATTATTATTAAATCACATTTTTATTTTTTTAATTACTAGTATAAATAACCACAAATTGTGGAACACAAAACTTGTGTTCTTGTTTTAAGAAATTCATTTCTTAAAAAAGGCAGGATTACCAATTATGCCGCCCCTCCCCCAGTCTCATGCAAAGACATGCACACGGGCCCAGTCCCATTTCACCCCCTGCCCCTACCACTTAGCCCTTACCCCTCCATTTTGCCCATTCACATCTAGGGGTAGGGTGTCCTGATTTTTGTTGAGAGACCAACGGCGGCTGTCCAGCACCTACCTTATTAGGGTGGAACAGGAAATTTAGCTAGCTAGCTACCGCAACATTAGCATACTATTTGCAATTTTTTATGCTTGTTATGAATAAAAGGACCAAAATACATTGAAACTAAGATAATACAGTGGATATCGTATTTAGAGAGAAGAAACAGCCATGAACTCACACCAGAAGGAGCTCACGAATGCATGTATAAGGTATAAGGTATGTAGCGTATTTTTTGGTTCAGATTGCTTCATCCTAACGGGAGTTACAACAGACTATTCGGGGCCTCTTTCGAGTGAATCTCCCTGTACCTTGAGTAACTCAATATCTTTTGGTAATAAAGTTTTTCACTTCTTGTTTGGAACTGCAAGCGTACATTCGTGAGCTCCTGCTGGTGTGGGTTCAGGGCTGTTTCTTCTCTCTAAATGAAGCACACAAAAGCGACTAGCATAGTAAAAGCTCCCCCTGTGAAGAAACTCCAGACTGCCACATGTGCAGGAGTGAGTGAGTTCCAAAGAAACACCACATGCTATACATATTTAAATGTGTATAGCACTGTCGCTCGGAATTCAGCTAAAGATGCCTGTCAGAAACCATGAAGTGTTACATTTTCAACTTTACAACTCATCAGGAAACTTTAAGCTGTACAGAAAAAGCTGATAATTTTCCTCAGACTGTATGTCGCACTCTCGGAAACCAGCAGAAACAGTGGGAAATTTTCTCTACCACAACCTAAAGGAACAAAACATTATATATTTCTTGTTTTCAAAAAGTAATTGATATTTTGTGTTAGTTTGAAAAACAAAGGCACACCCAGCCATCACATGTATTTGTTGAATTCCATCATCAGCACATCTGATTTCATATAATGAAGTATTTATTAGCCAAACCAGATATTAAGTGACAGCTCCATACAATACTGGGCTGTCATGAGGAGAATGGAGGAAATGGTTAAACAAACATGCACTACTTATTGCATTAACGTTGTTTGTATTTATTATAATATGTAAATGTTTTTTTTTCTCTGAACAAATAAACCATTACTGACCATATAAGTAGCTTTTTAGGTGTCAAAAAGATACAAAACATTTTATACTTTCTGCTTTATCATTTCCAAAAATTTGCAGTAAAATGTTATATTTAAGTTATATATATCACTGCTGTCGGAAGAAAACCTTGTATCTCCATTTTTGACATTTGTCAGTTTTTGACATAATTTGAAAATGCCTGTTACCCTTTACGTTATGTGTACATTTCATGATGAATGGACTAAAAGAAGTGACCCAAAATTACTTGGAAAAAGTCTGGTTCCATCGACTTACAGTAAAAGTAAAGTAGGTTTTTTTCTTCTAAAGCTTTAGCTTTAGCCCAGTTAGCTACAGCTTTAACAGAGAGCTGACAGTGCTAACATTAACACTCATAAACATGCTACGTTCAACAATTATCTCTGAAACCATCTGGCAAAAATCAGCTGGAACGAACTCAAAGACAGGGTTGAGGTTGTCTGCTCTTTTCTAGAACTACACAGTCCCCAAAAAATCACTCCACACAGGATTAACTGTTAGCTCGTTCCACTTCAACACCTCTGAATAGCTGGCAGGAGTGTGAAGGCTCTGTGTTTTATGGGTCGTTCGTCCTCCTGGGATGAAACCTTGAGGGGGCGACTGATGCATGTGCAAAAGCAAGTGTGGGGTCATCTTACTGCGCAGCCCCTTGAAGCAGCAATGAATAACAGCAGCACTTAACCTTTATTTAAGCCTGGTTACTTCCTTTGGGCTCCCATTGTATTCATCACAGCAGGGCCAGTGGGCCTGTCTACCCTTTAAGCTACACGGTAAGATCTAAAATTGTGTTTACTTTATTCAGCCTCACGTCAAGACGTTAAGGTTTGCCTGAGGTGTGAGCAGCGGTGGCCCATGTCTCAAAATAACCTTATCAGAAGTACAGCTGCACTATATGGTCAAAATACTAGCGGTAATATTGTGGTTTAGCTTAGACTGTCCTACATTATTTTGACCAAAATAATTGACTTATGTGAATACCTTGATCCATCAAAACACCCACAGAAACACACATCTGGACCTGTGATTGGTCAGGATGATCACAGCACACAGTAAAAGCACTGTGATTGGTTAGAAAGCTCATTCGGATTTGTATACTGTAGTCTTTTGCAAACTATTGCAAAGGCCAATATCATAATAATGATTCAAAACAACACTTTGCAATGCCTAATATGAGCACATCTACAGCATTTTCCCAGTGTGATATGACAGTTCATTAACATATCAGATCTTTGGGGTTATGACACTCAACACAGTTAGGAAATATCAAAGAGCATGACATTACAATAACCTACACTAAACAGCCTCGTAATTACAGTGTGCTAATTTGATGATAAGCCACCTCATTAAGTGCTGCAGCTCTAAACGGCCATGATTCTGCAGTCATTTAAAAGTCAGTGTTTGACAGAGGAATGAATGGGTGAAGCTTCAGTAACAAACTACAGGGAGATTCTCTCGAAAGAGGCCCTGAATATTCTGCTGTAACTCCCGTTGGTTTGAAGCAATCTGAACCAAAAAAAGTTGCAAACAGAGGTTAAACGTCACAACGGCTGTCCGGCGCCTACCTCATCGCTCCAATGCAGGGGCATCCCAGCTTGTTCGAAGCTCCATATACTGAGGAGCTCATTGCACGTTGTTGGGTTCAGATTGCTTCGTCCTAGCGAGAGTTATTACAGAATATTCGGGGCCTCTTTCAAGTGAATCTCCCTGTATTACCAACTTTAGAGTCCTGAATCTGATCCAGCTCTGTAACTAGCCATACTGTTACATAAATCTAGCCCACCTTACCATTTACAAGACAAGAGTCTTGCTTTCCCCATTATATTCAATCAATCTCAGACTTTTAAACCTATAAAAGATTTTGATTCTGTCACATGACAACATTATCTGATATATAATCCGATAACATCAAGTTTTACCTCCTCCTCCCACCACCCCCACCTATAATAGAGAGAGAACTTCCAGCTTGCTCAGAGACGCTCCCTGATACTGTGTTTAACCCACTTAAAATGCCAGGGCCAGCATTTTAAGGGGGTCCACGGTTTTATTACACACTTCTATAATCTAAGAATAGCTCAACCAGTTTGCCTTAAAGTCCCTGTAGTTACTGAATAATAAGCCTTGGTATGTAATAAGCCTGAGATATTAAGGGGTTAACTCAGAAATATGTCATGGTAAAGAGGGAAAATGTGTTATGATTTCTGAGTCACATTGACTTTTACAGCTATATTAAGCCTATTTATAGTATTTCTGATCATTTGTTATGCATTTTGTGCTCTACTAGAGGCTGTAAGGGGACAGAACCAGCCAGACGCTCCCGGTTAAAACAAGAAATGAGGCTTTACTTGAAAAGGGCTTGACATAGGGCGGGACGATTAATCGAAAAGTAACTCGAACCGACATTCAGAACCTCTAACCGACGTAATCTTGCCCATGTCGGTTATTATGACAATATTATTTTTTCATTCTGTTAATCTTTTCCCCACTCTGTGTGTTCATGCACGGTCACCTTAAAAACTTACTACCGCGCATGTTGTCAGGTGACTCCGCCACGTCCAGTCTGCGACATGGAAGCTAAGGCTATGTTCACACAGCAGGTGAA